CTTCTCAGCAGTCATTTTTCATCATATATTTTTATGAGATTGGACATTGAACTGATTTTTAAGTTTCCCCAGAAAATTTGGAGCATATTTGGTTATACCTTTTTAAAAATATTAGGATTTTAAACATTCAGAACACCCAAATGACCATTACCTCTTGCCCTGGTTGGAATGACCGATTTGGCACATTTTTTCTGGAAAACATTTTGATCTTCTCGGTGGGTTTTTACTATCAGTTGTACTTTCAGGCTTATCACTCTATCTTCTCCAACGATTTTCTGTTTTGTGTTGAAACTCATTTTTATGCACACAAATCTGAGGAAGAAAGAATTGCTAGTAAGAAGACTTTGTATGTTGAAACACAGTTTTCTCTCTATAGTTGAGCTATATAGTTGAAGTCTAGTTTTAGCCCACACACATTTTTCTAGCCACAGTAATGAAATAGAAATACCTATGGTTCAACAACAGTACAAATGTGACTGACAGTACTGAAGGAATTAGGATTAATGTAGCAATTTTGTAACCATATTAGAATGTCCTATGTGATAACTCATCAGCAAGAGCTAAAATAAGGCATTTCTGCAGCTTTTAGCATCATAGGAAACACACTAACTCTTGTAATTGATATTTTAATCTATACTCTTATTCCTTACTCATTGTTTTGTTGATTCATTATTTAAAAAGCAGCCAAACCCATTGCAGCCATGCCTAAAAATAGACTGCTTAAGCACCAGTGGTATTTACAGGGTGTATTAAGTGTCTTGTTTCTCCATTTCTCTCTTTAGAATGGATCTTTTGGGGGTTTTTAACATTTTGAGTGTTTTGAGAATCACAACTAAGTCATGACATGGTACGGAAAAAGTTCCCTCCCCTCCAGATTTTTTTGTAAACCATTAATTTGGTTAATGTGATTGAATCAGTCAAAAACCAGAAAAAGATGGGTGATCACTGGCCAAATAATTTGAAATTTACTTTTCTTCCCTGTTGGATCGAACAAGTGGCTAAACCTCTTATGGGAATTTCTTTTCATTACCTTGGAGAAGACAGCAACAGGAGGATCTTAGGAGGGTTATTCCTGTTCCTCTTGGCAAAGCAATCAGTAATGTGGATAGAAGGGGGAGTAGCACTGACTGATTTAAAATATGTAAAAGACATTCAGGACTCTGGAGAAGCTGAACTTTAAGGAAAACTTCTTTAAAGTCAGCAAAAGAAACTGTTACATGTTTTTATTCTTCTGTATTCCTCACCCATATTCCCCTGAAACAGCAAAAGCTTGAAAATCTAATTAAATAACTCTCTGAGCATAACTTGCTGATCAGGTGATATAAATTGCTAGGAGAGTTAGAGAAGCACAGCTGTTTATAAATGAGCTAATCATTCAACACCCCTCTAACCTACACACAGATTTAATATCAAATCTTGAAGCACAGGATGAAGAACAGTGAGTGTTAACACCTTCAGAGTATTTTTTTTTTTATTGGTCACAGCTGTACTTTTTGCATCACAATTTTGGAGTCAACTTCTGAAAACTCCAGGACATTTTTTTTATTTGTTTGTTTCAAGATTACAAGGCTTTTATGATGATAATGTTGCTGAAAAACACTACACTATGTTTAAAAGGGCCATTTTTGTTGAGTGTATTTATGTATTTACTGAGAAAAAAAAAGGTGTGCCTTGTAGAGTAGCAAACATATTTAAAATTGCTTTTTGAAGCATTTTGGCTTGCTTTCAATTCCTTCTCCGGCTTTTTGAATGGAATTATTTATTATTCTTGACAGTTGCATCTGTGGGACTATATAGATGTTACTGAGAACACTGCTTGAGGAAAATGAACAAAGCTGTCCCGTTGAGATAAAGCTTCACAAATCAATTAGGTTTTTGTTGTCAGCAGTGCTAGAGAGGGAAAGCCCCACTTGAGCACACTTGCTTGGCAACTCTGAAAGCTGTTACCTGGAAATGGTGTGATGATCATTGCTGATTTGCAAGTGCTACTGCCTGAAGAATTAAATAGCAATGGGCTGGAGGGGAGAGGGGGCTGAAAGCTGTGTCTGTTCTCCTGGAGAGCACGCATGTCACAAATTGTTATGAACAGGTCCCTGCTAGTGAGTTTTTTATTTAGATTTAGTATTTAGCAAGACACCTGTGCACAAGCCCCAAGAGCCACTTTGGCAGTAATTAGATTTGCAATTGCTGCCCAGCAGTGCAAAGACAAATGTACCAATAAATAATTTCTGCCAGCCAGCACCAGTGAAAACACTGATTTAGCCCAGCAGCTGAAAAGAGAAGAATTTCACCCAAGCCCTTAATTTCCACAGCTACCCAGAAACAGGAGTCAAGCCTTTCTGGAGGACTCTGGCCAGAGACTGGTGTGATGAGCATAGCTGTCCTCTTTGCTGAAGCCAAGCAACTCATGGGCATCATGTGTTGTTATGGTCCTTATCCATCGACCTGTGGAAAGAGATGCTGCTTTCAAAGCCTGGGAACTGGTGGTTTTTTACCAACAGGATGTTCTTTTATACAGAGTGGAGGGTGAGTTTCTTTATGTAGATTCTAAAGGCAGACAAGTTTCAGAAATCGTTCATGTCTGAGTATTTGTTTTCTTGCTATAAAGAAAAATAAAATTATCAGCAGGAAAGAAACATTTATGTTCTTAAAATAAATGATATGAGGAAATTCATCTTAGCAAAAAGCAGAAATAAGCACTTTCAATTTAAATATAATGTAAATTTGAACAGTTTTTTTTCCTGTTAGTTTCTCTGAGAATTCAGTGGAATCTCTAGTTTATATGCAAGCAGGCTATGCATGGGTTATCTACAGGAATTGGACTATGGATGGAGGTCTGTTTTAAAGTGTGGAAAGCTTAAAACTATATAAACCAGTTTTTGGAATGTAAGACATCGTTGAGATGTTTTCTTAGAAGTAGAGACCTTGTACTCTGGATGTAAACTGAGGGAGCTGAGTGGGTGCATTATGCACTGCACGTGTTCATGGCTAAAGGCAAACCTGAGGTAACCAAATTACCTGAGCCTCCCAGTAAAGGAAAAGGAGATAATCTGGGTGACATTGCAACTGCTGAAGGCTGGGAGTGAGTGTGCATAAAGCCTGAGCTTGTTTAGAAGCAAGAGCAAGGATGGAAATGTAAAGAAGAGCTTGCCAGGAAATGGTGTAAGCAATCTCGTGTACAGAGCACACTTGTGCCAGCCCAGGAAAAGGCAGCAGTTGTGAGTGTGACAAGGCAAACAGAAATTGAGGGACTTGCTTGTGACACCCCTGAAGAACTCTGCAACAGTCATAAAGTAGTGCTGGTTAAATTATGAAATATTTCAAAAGGAATTGGCACCTAACCTACACTTTTTAAACAAAGTATCACCTGATCATGCAGTAAATAAGGATTGAGTTCCATGGCTGCTATTTTAACATGTGCACATTCAAAGTTGCCCTCTTGTTTTGGGAGCAGCACTGGTTTCAATGCAGCGTCTATGCTCCCATTTTACTTGCAAATTCCAATGGTTTCTGAGAAAATTTGAAACAACAAATTACTAAAAAATGCAGATGCAAACTGAAACTGGAAGTCATCATTTGAATCCAGATCTAATGTTCAGCAGTTTAAAATTGTGATTGCACGAGGTAATCGGAGTTGCTTCTCCCGCTTTCCCTGTAATCACTGTGGGTCTGTATTAAGACCAATTCTTGTGGTGGCTCTCCTGTCATGGCCAGGAGCACTTTGCTCCTCAGCTGTGAGTGGTAAGAATCCACTTTGCTGCTTTGCTCTGGCACACTGGGGCTGAACTTAGCTGCAGATGAGGCATGTACTTTAATGGGACAGACCTTTGAGGTGGCACAAAGGAGTCTTTTTCTGGTCTTTGCCTGACATTTTTGCTTCCATGTATATGCTCGGCTTTGAGCATCTCCTTTGAGATGAGCTGGAAATGAATTTGCCCCACAGGTATCTGTCAGATTTTCATCTTTCTCTGAAGCCTGGGGATCGGATCTCCTGCTGGAACTGTTAGGGCTTATGTCAGTCATTTCTCTGCTACTACTGTCACCTGAGGGATAATTGTCTTGTCCCTGTCTGGGGAACGGGAGCCTCCTTATAGCTGCAGCACTTCAGATTAAGTTCTCTGGGTCTTGTATAGTGAGACCGAGGGAAATTAGAGGGTAGGTGATTTTCTTCTCTTAGATTTTGTGAGAGGATACAATGAAATGGATACACCATCATTTTCCAAAGGCAAATTGTGCCCTTATTCTGAACAAAGGAAGCTTATGCCCTTGTCTTTCTCCAGGGACATTTTTTCATAGCCTGGAGCCCACCTCCAGCCCCCTGTGGTCTCTGCAGAGGGTGGTGATGCTGCTGAACTGCCTGGGAGCTGTCCCCACCCCAGCGTGGTGGCTGAGCACTGAAAGCCAATTGCCTTGGATAATAATCGCTGTGAAGGGGATGATCCACACCTCAGCTGGAGCTGCCACAGCTTTGGGGAGCCAGCACTGTGCTGCTCACATGGTGGCACCCCATGAGGTGACAGAAATGCCACTGGCTAATGAGTGTGAGCTGTACAATGCAGGCAGCCATTAATGTAGGAAAGCAATTAAGAATCAGTAAGCTTTTCTGAAGCTGTATTTGATGTTGGATCTAATTATTTTTACCAGATGGCAATTCTTTTGTATATCTTGATAATGCTCTACGTCTCCTTTATGGTAAAATGAATAGCTGCAGTTGAATATTTAGAACCAAGGCAGTAGTTAGGTTGTATTGAACAACCATCAATAAAATGTAATTCTAAGCTATAAGAATAATAGCCTCCAAGAGCAGAGCTAACATTCCCTCTTAAAAAACTTTTAAATAAAATTAAATTCTTAACTCATCTTTCAATTTAAGAAACAAGTGATTTTCCCTCCTTTAACTTAATGGAAACTTTGATTTTTGTGTGACAGAGATTAATGACTCTGAGTAACTATTTCTTTCCCATTTCCTTTTCTTTTGGTGTTTTTCTCTGCATCCAAAGGAGAGCAATGGAGCTGGTGAATGCTCTGAAGAGCATTTGAGGAAACTGAGAGTATTTAACTTGGAGAAGAGGAGGCTTGAGGGGACTCTATTGCTCTCCAGAACTGCGAAAAGGAGCTTGCAGCCAGGTGGAGGTCAGTCCATTCTCCCAGGTAACAAATGACACAGGACAAGAGGAAATGGCTTCAAGTTGCAGCAGGAGAGGTTTAGGTTGGATATTAGAAAAAAATTCTTCATCCAAAGGGTCGTCAAGCCCTGGCACGGGCTGTCCAGGGAAGTGATGGAGTCACCGTCCCTAGAGGTGTTTAAAAGATGTGTAGATGTGGCATGTAGGGACATGGTTTAGTGCTGACCTTGGCAGTGCTGGTTTAGTGGTTGGACTCGACTTAAGGGTCATTCCTGAGGATGAAAATGCCATTCACGACCTTGAAACTAATTGCAAAGCAGTATCTGACCAGCTGACAATCTCGAACTGTCTCCAGTATTTTCTCTTCATGATTCTGTCAAGAGAGAAAGCAGGGCCATTGTTATGATCTGCAGCACGTGTGGAAGCAGTGTCCGACTGTGTTTTGTGGAAACTTGTAGTTGGAACTGAAAATATTGGTGAGCCCCTGCCGTACTAATGAGATAGGATGGACTCTAAATCTTGTCTATTAAACACCCCTGTGGTGCTTAATAAAAAAGTCCAAGAGAAGGTGAAATGTAGGTATTGCAGGTTCTCTGAGTTGGAAAGGGAGTGTTCTCCCCAGGCAGCATTCCTGTTTGGACCCTGGTGCTGCTGGGAGTCCCTAAGCCAAGGAAGTGTTCAGTTGTACCAAACAGGGTGCAGCAAAAGTGTTGATGCATTTCTAAGAAGAGAAAGAGTAGAATATTTTCACAGGTTATTGATGTTCAACTTCCCAGTCCTTCCTGGAAGAAAATAAGACCTGCCTTTGCAGATGAAGAAGTTACTGAATGCCAAGATAATCTCCTAGTGTGCCTGTTGGGAAGGGATCACTCCTTTTTATAGGTTGGTTTGAGTTGTGGGTGACAGCACAAGTTACTACCAAAGCTGCTGCTGCCAGAGGGTTGTTTTAATACTGACTTTTGTAGAAGTGGTCAGTAACAAGAAAATTTGCAAAAAAAATTCGTATTTCCAGCAATTTAAAGTATTTCCTAATGCTGTATTTACAATTAACTTCAACTACACAGAGGTGGCTATAAATGTAAAGCAGGATACCCTTATTACTGTTTGTTTGTTTGTTTGGGGTTTTTTTTAAGAAAGAGAATGCTAGGTTGTCATGGAAATATATGCTTTTAACAAACCAGAAATGATTATCCCTTCCTGTGACTGAAATTTCAAGAAGTATCTGATGAAGAGGCTGCCAGCAGCTACAAATCTCTGGTAGAAATAAAAGCAGTGATTCTTCAACTCAGCAGTAGGGAGGGTGGCACCTAGTTCAAAATTAATGGAGCCCAGTGTTAAAATAAAAGCATCTTTCAGGGAAAAGGAGTCTTTCCTGAAAGCAATGAGCTTATGGAAGGAAGTGAGCATCACTGCAGGAGTCAGCAGTTCCCCAGTTTGTCACAGCTCTGTGACAGCAAACAGTATTTACTCTGCTGTCCTTCAACCCATGTTCACTGGCCCAGAGCATCAGAACAGGAGCAGTGCCCTCTTCATGGACAGGATCAGAAATAAATGTTGTCACAAGTATGGATGGTCACATTTCCATCTGGGAACAGTTCTCACTCACTGGTGTCTGAGCTCAGCAACCTTTCTGCACCACCAGAGCCTCTGGGTGAGTTAGATCACTGTGATGTCGCCAACAGCTTTAAGGGAGCTTTGTAACCTGCCATTGTGCAGAGTTAACGGAGGAAATGATCAGAAAGGGAATCGCTTTGTAGCCATTCAAGAGAAACACTTCTGAGGAGTGAGCCTGACTTTATGAAATCCTGTGACACATCAGGTTTAGGAAAAACCCTGTTTGTCAATGCAAGTATTAGTGCTTTGCAAGAGAGGTGTTTCTCTGGGGGCTAAGTGTGAAAGATAAACTACTTAAGTCCAGCCTAATAGTTCAAAACTTGTTTTGCTCATTAATCTAGGAGAAAACGGGAAACTTTGATTACAGTTATGCAAACATAATGCTGTGTGGGTAATTCTTGCTCCTCTATGACTGATTTTGTTGACAAGCGAAAATGTGTGGAGTTAATGCTTTAGAAATGGATGGTAATGGTAACATGGTACTGTTCTCTTTGCCTGCTTTGTTCTCAGACTTCATCTCTCTTGGTGGTGCTAATTCCTCTCCCTGTCTCCAAAGCATTGAGGATACCTTACTTCCCACTTTCTTTTCTGTCTGTTTGACAGTGTGTGTTTATATTTGTTTTTATAGGCAGACTTTTCAGTTGCCAGCGTGGGAGGATGATGCTCTCAGAGAGAATGAGGCAGAGTTATTTAAGCAGCCCAAAACCAGGGGCTGTCCTTCACTGGGCTGAGGGATTCAAGATTTAAATGTGTTTGTCTTGTATCTTTTCTGTTGCCAAACATAATCAGTTTTAAGGGGAACAGGTTTAGATAGGTACACCTGTAAAAACATGAGGGCACTGTGGAAAACTTCCAGCGAAGAACAGGATAGTAATTGAAGTGGTTCCAGCCAGTTGCCATTGAAATCACACAAGTGCTGTTTGCTGGGGAGGTAATTTCAGCTGAACACAGACGTAGGAATGCCTGCAGAAATCACTCTTATCGATTCGTTCTTGTTAGCTGATTTCAAAAGTTGGAAAAGTTAGAGAAAGTCAAATCCTTGAGGCAATATTCCTTCTCTTACTGTGACTCTTGGGATTGGTGACATTTCCTGGGCCATGCCTACGTGAAGCCTGTAAGGCTTTACCAAACACCTGCTGCTTTCATTAAGTTGCTGCTGGTGGCAAAGTGAGAGTGATTGTCTCTTGAAATGAATGCTCTGTAGATATCTTCTCTATAATTTATTCCGAGCTGCCTTTTCTTAGTAAAAGTAATAATTTGAAGTTTGGAAGGCAAGTAATCATAGGCATAAAAAGGTTTCATGACCAAAACCAGATTTTCCCGATTTCCTGGCAGAAATGGCATCTGCATATATACAAATATTGAGGTTAGAAGCAGTTGGCAAGTGAAAATTCTTGGCCTTTTTTCTCATTTTCCAGTGTGACAGAAGCATTGCTGATTGTATTTGAAAGATTCCTGGAATGCCTGTTGAATTTATTGCTATGAAAAAGCCTGATCCTTCTGCTTTGTAAAAGTCCTCCTTGTTTGGACCTAGCAGTGGTCATCCACATACTGGTCACCTCTAGTTATATTATTGGATGTCTTTAGGAAAATGGTGCCTATTGTCCACAGGAATCAAATAAAATTGCCTGACTCTTTCAAAACTCATTTTCCAAGAATATACTACTGCTGTGTCCACAATCCTGCAGGATGTCCTGGCCAACTTCCACAGCCAGTTTAAGATCTTGGTCCTAACCTTGAAAAAAATGATTTCATAATTTCATAAGGTAATGACATCAGCCACAAAGGTATATTCCTGTAATATTTAAATCCTAATTTATGTCTCTGTGCTTTGGCTTGCTGGCTCATTGGTAGGGTTGAAATCCATGAATCCACAAGACAACAGTGCAGCAGGGCATGGGAGACAAAACCAGAGCTTGTTAGGCCAGGTTTGCCAACAAAGCAATTGCTTCCTGAATTGCATCTGTAATTTGAAAACAAAGTTGCTTTGAATTGCATGTCAGCAATTGTTGTCAAATCTTCCTGAGACATGAAATGAAAAGGCTGTGGGTTGCTTTTAAACTTGAGTGTCTGTCAAGCCTCCTGGTCTCTCTAAATCCCCCAATTAAAGGATGGTAACTTAGAGTTTTGAGAAGCATTGGAAACTTGTGCATGCATCTGTTCCTGGCGGTTTTTATTGGAAAAGGTCCAGAAAGATAAGCCAACAGTTACATGGCACTTGAAAGCAGGGTGCCTGGAGCACACCCACTTGAGTATCTTAGAGTTTAACTGCAAATTCCATTCAAAACTGAATTCCAAGTGCTGCTTTTTGTTTGTTTCATTTAGAAAACCCAGCATAAATCTATGAAAGAAATTGGGTGACATTTCCAGATCTGGTTGGAAAATACTGTTAAAATTAATTAGTCTTATTGCTTTGTGTTACCTAGAGCTATATGTAAAAACTTGAAGAGAGAATGCAGTCTTGCATTAGAAATCAGTAATGAACTGTGAGAGAAAGAGCATGTGCTGAAGTTTTCAGTCTTGGGAAGAATATTTACTGTTAGCTGCAGCTGTCACACTATTTACTGAAAATACACCAGCCATAAGTACAAATTATGTACTGTGGCAATGGTACCAGACCCTAATCATTATTCTGAGATAACAAACATGATGACTGAAATAACTTGGCTAGTTTCAGGGAAAGCTGCTACCACAGCTCCTTGAAACAAAGCATATTCTTTGAGCTGCCAATTTTTGGCACATAGAAATCAGTGAAAAGACCCAGTTATGTAATCTAGGTTGACCAAATGAAATCCCATTTTGGCACACAGTCACATGGGTTTGCTAAAAAGAAACTGGAGAATTATTTTCCCGGGGCAGGCATTATATATAAGGTTAACACACACATAAAAAAAATTCCTGATTTGGTCCTATTACCATTTTTTTTAAATCGAAGTAATGCATAAACTTGAGTCAAAATTAATAAGTATGCATTTTTTTAATATAAGGAAAATTTTATTGCCCCAGAACTCAGTTTCATTAGTAAATGGTGGCTTTTTTATTTACTGCATGATTGTTTTCAAAAGGTAAAGATGTTTACTGTAGTCCTGATGTCCCAATTTAAGTAGTTTAATAAGGGTTAGCAGATAAATGGTGGGAAGAAATTTCCTTTACCTAGCTATACAACATGAGCCTATTTTGAAAGGTGTATTACCTCGTTTCACAACAGAGAGAAGAACCCAGTGGCTCTTACTGTGACTTTGAATGTCAGGCTCAGCCAAAATAAACATTCATTGAAAATGCTTTAAACATAAAATATTACACTTTTTTAAGAATATAGTAAATTCAACACTTGGAAAAGTTATGTGTGCAGTGGATCTACCTAAAAAGAAAGTATAAAGTAATTCCCATATGCCAGCTAACTAGAGCAGG